GCTCCCAACAGCCCCCTGCAAGAGCACAGACATCAGTGCCCATTGGCTTTGGCTGCCCTGGGGCAGAGAAGTGCCCCGGGGACACAGCTGTGTGGGGCAGGAGACGGGCACCAGCCCTGCCAGGACTGGGGGCGGTGGCAGGTCTCCTTGGGCGAGGACTTGCCAGAGCTGCTGATTTTGGTGCAGCCCCGGGCAATGGGGTGGGAGCAGCATTGGTGCCCTCGCCCCCACGTTCCTTCTGTGTGTCACAGCCCCGTGTTCGGGAGGGCCACCAGCCGGCACTTCTCCCAAGGAGCCCGTGCCAGCAGGGGAGGGTTTGCTTAGTTTTTCAGCTGTGCCTAAAGTTCATGTCCAGCTGTCTTAGATACTTTGCAGAACGGACTCCTTCCCACCTGGGGCAGGTTGGCCGGGCTGGGGGAGCCCCCAGGGCACGTGGCAGTGTGTCACGGGGCCCTTTGTGACACGATGGGGTGGCACTGGGCAGGGTGTCACAGGGCCCTTTGTGACACGTGAGGACATAGTACTGGTGGGGAGGTGGCCACGCCTCAGTGCTCCTCGGAGCCGGCGACGGTAGGACGGACGGAGCTGTGCTGTGCGGAGCCCCCACACAGCCAACTCCTTCCTTTCTGACCGGAGCGTTTTGGTGGATTTCCCGTGCTGCGAGCGTCCTCGAGGCCGGACCGCGGGACTTGGGGACACGGAGCTTCTGCAAGGTGTCCCCAGTCCCTGCGGCAGCTGCCCTCGAGGCCGCAGTGCAGGACTTGATAACCAACACTGTTTTGTAGGCTTTTCTCGTTCAGGTGCCCTCGAGGCCATACCACAGGATTGGTGACCCGGAAATTTTCCGAGGCGTCTCCAGTTCCTGCGGCAGGTGCCCTCGAGGTCATTCTCTGGGACTCTGTGCCCCAGAGCTTTTCTCTTGCGTCTCCATTCCCTGCAGCAGGTGCCCTCGAGGCCCGACTGTAGGATGGCGGAGAGACGCTTCAGCCTGTGCAGGTTTCTCAGGAGGAAGAAAAAGAAGGAAGGTCCTGAGACTGCCCCTGCACAGCAGCCTGAGGAGGCAGAGCAACCCCAGCCCCTGCAGGAGGGTGAGTGGCACAGCTGGGCCACAGGGCTGGAGCCTGCAGCCAGATGGGGCTCTTCCCATCCCATCCCCAGTGGACATGGCCAGGGAAAGGGAGGGGGGATGAGGGCCCATGGCCTATCCCCTGGCAGCTCCATGCACTGGGCATCCTGGGTCTGGCCCTGCCTGTGGAGCGCAGGGCTGGGCCTTGTTCTCCGGCCTGTCCCGCAGCCCCTCAGCTCTGACCGCGCTCGCTCTTTGCCACATCCAGGACGGGACCGGACACGAGAACAGGACCGTGCCCGTGGACGCTTCCGCCGGGCAGCACAGGTACCTGCAGCCACGGCCCCCTGGGCTGGGCCTGCTGTCCCTGCTCAGCCTGGCACCGCTGGCAGAGCTCACCATGGCACATCCCTTTCTTCCCTGCTCTCCATTCTCTTGCAGGCCTTTCTGACATCCCTGGCCATTCGGCGGAGAAAGACCAGGATCACACCAGCTGAGGTCCTGGCACAGCCTGCCCCCACACCGAGT